ATCATACATACGATTATAACGTCTACCCTCTACACTACCAATCCTATAAAAAATTATAATTACATGGTATTCTTCCCATGATCAGATAACATTTAAATAGTACTTTTTTTGAATAATCGAATCCCATGCACAAATATTTTTACTAATTATTCGTATATAATCATATGTTAATTTACCCATCAGATATAGTATAATGCATTTCAATTATCCAATGTCACCAGTACACTAACTAAATATAATAAAATACTTGTAATGTATTAATATGACAAATAATAGTACAGATGCATAAAATATAGGCGAAGCCTACGAAGTAAATACCTTGTGACCAAATAGAATATATTACTCCTGTATATTATTGCACTCGAGAGTGGAGATACACTGGTGATCTGCTCGAAGAGCAAAATTATTTGGAATGATAAATGTGGAAAATCACTTTTTTAGACTGTATTTAACACATTTTTTACGTATTTCGCCTCTTCTTTTTTCCAAATAATTATGCTCACCACCGTAGTTAGATATACTCCATATACAGTATTAGTCTCATCAATTACAAAAAATATTATTATATCCCTTGTCTGAATTTTTTCATTCATGTGAGTCACTAGTGTAGTTAAATAGCAAGCGGAATATTTTTCGTATTTTGTTAATAATGTAGAATAATATACAGATTATACAATAATAGGATCACAACCAATAGCGCATGGTAGTTTATTACACGATTGACATTTTAATATATTCAACGCTTTTACAGAGTAAATTTCATATCTACTAAATGATGTACTATATGTTAGTATACGAGATTAACAGAAGAAAAAATAATGCTTGACTACTAATTATGATAATTTCGTTTGAAATTAATGTTACCTGTTTATCGGTTAGAAGTTCATCATTGACCTTTGGGCAAATTGTGGGAAAATTTTTTGCATGCTATTTGCTAAAATAAAGTTGACAGCCTCGTGTCATTGTTGGAAATTGCAAAGATTTCCCTTCCTATAACATACAGAGTCTGTTCTTAGTAATCGAAACTAAATGTAGTTCTACTTAAAGTATTGACTATTGTTTGCGATTACTAAAAACTAAAGAGAATTACAGAGCATATAACAAAAAGCACACAGTCTGCAACATTTTTATTTTTTATAAACTCCTTACTATATCACATCCTTATCGTAGTTAGTATTGGAATAAAACTATCCGGAAATAGAATTTTTCAACGCAGTCGTTGCATGATTTTACTTTGTTAGAATCTTGAACAACTTTTTTTGAAGAAATTTACCATAAATGATAAATTAGATGTCGTTGTCAAAAATAAAATGGTATACTGTGTAATGAGAAAAAAGGCTATTTTCCATAAAGGAACCTATTGATTTATACTATATTGCTGATGAGCCTTATTAGGCAGTTAGTTATTTGTATTACCTCATTTATTCCCTGATTTGTTAATATCGCAGTTTCAATATACGAAATAAGGTAACTGTGACCTTAGTGTCACGGTAGGAAAAATGATAAAGTTGCGCATACTACGTATACTATACATAACACGGCATGCGACAAAAAGTTTAATCGACCACAAGGTAAAAAATTTTAATTGTTTTCGAAATGGATAAATTTCGTGGACCAGAGATGTATATTGCAATATGCATAGTATACTTTTAGTAAAACTGCCTATAACCATTAGTTATACATATTATCTATTTCCAGATTCTGAATTTCTGCGCATGGTTACAAATTTTCTTCTTATCAAACTAGTTAGAATAATAGATATATTATATTTCGAATACTCGCCACATTCATATATTTTTTTCATAATAATATCTCACAAAGATTCTGTAAATGAACATATACCATTAAAATAGAGAGTGGACATGAGCTCTGTCCAAAATTATTTTCTCCATGTATTATATCGCCAGACCTTGTCTTACAGATGATTATATTGGTTTACCAAGATGTAGGCAAGTAGCTATACAATAAGTAAATGGGAGAAATCAGAATAACACAGATTGTTACATTATACTTATTCCAGGTATGAAACACGCATTAAGTCTATTGCATATGATATCAAAAGTTAATCATTTCATATTATTAGATTCCCACGCACTACAAAATTAATATAATATGGTAACATACTGTATATTCTATCCTAAACACTTTTTTTATACCAAGAGAATCAGTTATTCAATTTTTTTTATTTGAACTAAAGTGACTTTTACTAAAGAATGGGATACGAAACAGATAAATATCGCTGTTCAATGACACAAAAACATAATAATTTATCAGTTGAGAAAGTATATAACAAAGAGGAACTATCTACGAAATTGATAGTTAAGAACCACAATGCAGACATGTATAGAGTTTTTCATTCATGCGAAGAGTTTTGGGAGTTTAATGACAGGGTCCTTATCTTATAAATCAATCGCTATTGTTCATCCCAGTAATAACGTGAATGCCTTTGAGTAGTATCACTAACCTTGTAAGAAGATGAAATATGGCATCTGTGAATGTTACAACAGTTATCACACACGACTAGTTTATTCTGAAATCTATGTCTATTTTCTTTAAACGAGAAAAAAGAAATTATATATGAGTAAATTTGCAAGACAACATATTCACTTAAATGTCAAAAGATCACTAGCCCGAATATTTTGTTTTGTTCTCGTTGGAAGAAAAGTAGTAAAATAAAATGTGTAGTGTTATAATAACTGAAAATATAATAGATAAATGAAACAGTAAATCCTGTGACGCAGTAAGTCACATGATATGGTTACATAAGAAGAAATAGTTGGGAATACAAAGTCATGTGACAAGTCACATGGCGCAGTAAGTGACAGATAAATATTTAGCCGATGGATAAATAATTAGCCAGTAAAATAATATTTATAGTTTAGTGTAACGAGATAGATTTTTTAGAATTAATAGAAATAATTTTCTTAAAAAAATATAAATACAAGTGGATTTCGATGAGAAATTCCGCAGTTAGTTTTGTAATTCGAGTTCGACTTTTATAAAAATAAAATTATTTTGTCCTTTAATAAAAATTAACACATTCTTTTAACCTTTTTCTTATGATGAAAAAGAGGTGTCATTTTTAATGACCTAATAATGATTTATAATTTTGGGGAAACTATCGCAATTTAAAATTAAGTAAAAATTCTGTTTCGCAACTAATTCTTATTTTAAACCAAGCATAGATATTATTCGAACTCAACACGTCAGTGGCAACATACGGTATTTTATTTTAATATCCTATAGGTGGCGTGTCACAGTGTAATTACTCACCTTGCATGTTCCCGCCCAAGTTAATTCTAAATGAACTTTGTAAAAGTAACCGCAATTAACGCAATGCATAACAGTAAATTTTCACTAAAAGGTACTGAGAATTATGAGAAGAAGCATTATAAACAGTAAATATATCTTACACGTAGACTGTGTAAAATGATAATAACTTTTTACTCCAGATATTGGAATTATATATAGCCCGTAGATTATCATGTAACATTCACATGTGCAATTTATTTTATCCCTAAAAATCGACGCAGTTAATATCTGAATTGTTATTGGTGGACATATTACCATTTTTATACTAGGCTGAGTAATCTTATAATGAATGATCAAGAAGTGTTTACATTCAAGTGTTTAGTCAAAAAAATATACAGAAGCCTCCACTATTTTTTTGGACACAGCTGAGATTGACATAAGTCATAGTAAAATCCTTTGTGTGCAAAAATACTATACATCCAAAGTAATGTCCTTCGAGCATTTAACAATTAGGACACAATCTAAATATCCATGTCTCGGTAAAAAGGAACAAAGAATAAATAGTAGACTATGGTAATAATAGCACACAGAATATGATTCTCGTTTACAAACAGACAATTGATATATAAAGGAGACAGTAGTAGCTTGGTATGTTAATATACTATTTATTAAAATTATTTGTTACTACGTTTTGAAAGAATGCCTTCTATCGTCACCATTATACTCACGCTATTCTTTGTGTATATTTTTTTATTCATAGGTACAAGTGTAATGTAGTCATGTATTTGCATCTACAATATACGAATATTTAGTTACTGTATTTATTAAACAAACTATTTGATATGAGTGAAGCCCAGGCTATGCCTGAGATAATTGAATAATTATTTTGTAAAGAATGTCCAAGGAATCGTACTATTTTCAGGAGTATGCTAAGTACAGTCTTGCTAAATCAGTTACACCTATTGGTAATGATAGTCATTTGTTATCTTTATTATTCCACTTTATTAGTTTTGCTTGAGGCATTGCGAAATGATGTTGCGATTATTTGGATGATCACCTATCCATTTTTTAACGATAGAATATGTATATAGCAATTGCAGCATGGATTTCCATATTTTTGACAATAACTATATCATTTTGAATTTTATCGGACATGTCACTATTTTGTTTTAGACAGAGTATAAGAATCAAAGATATATGTCCAGAAGTGGTTCTGATGTTACCAATGAAACGAAGACATATTATGAAACACTAGATACGGAATGAACCCTTTAGGTAACTATTGACTTGCTATATTCTCTCGCCACTCAACAGCACTTATTTCATTAACCAAATCTCTCAAATTTTCAATGACGGTGATTGAATAATAGGCAAATTATATATGAAAAAAATCTTAACTATATGATTAGGGTCTTGCCCTGGTTTCGCCTGAAAAAAAATTTACGAAGAAAAGAAGAAAACTAATTGAAAAGTTTGCATAAGATTAACACTTTGGCATATTAACAAATTTCATGCTATTAAGATCATTATGTGACAATATAATATAAAGATCATGTTAATATAAAGATCATGTAATATCAAGTCCTTGTTTTACACAAGTATTAGTATATATAATATGCTATGTGATTTTCTTGAATTATAATAATAACTCTTGATGTAATAACAATTTTTATGTCCATTATTTTATTAATATCAACTACTGCTTTCATCTCCAAATGTCATTCCTTATGCGGTTAAAGGTCTACATAATGACTTATATAGCTATACTGCATATTACGATAATACGAAAATACAAAATTGGAAATCGTGTTCCAGAGATATGTTCTAAATTGAATTTAGAAATTATTATACCCATACTGACTACTGAGTCACGTAAAATAGAAACCAATGACCATAAAGTAAAATTACAGTGTTTAGTTCTTCCTTGGGGGAAAGGAGTTCACCATAAACCTTTGAAGCAGTTTACCATATTGCCTGTAAATATCCTTGCAAGCTATTCTGTTGGAGAGCTTAAAAAAGCCATTTATGGAGAAAAGCCAAAAGCCTTTACAGATTTTTCTGTGGATGAGCTTAACCTTGGTTTAGTTTCCATCTTTTGCAATGAGATAATTACATTAGGTACAGACCCAGAAGCGTATGTAAAAATTAGATTACTGGAGAAAAGAAGACTAGTACCTATTGAGAACGTTAGTGAAATATTCCCACAAGATAATCCACCGGCACCTAAACATGTACTGTACATGTTCTTGTTGGACTTCCTGATGACAAAAGCTCTGATGACTCATTAGAGGAACAAAAAAAATTCCAAATAATAACTAATGAGAAGATTAGAATCTTCACAGCTTGCATATACAGTATGACAGAAACAACTACAATCATTGATCAACTTCTTCGCCAGGAACTCAAACACGTAATGCACAGAGATGTAGATAAATTTTTAGATTTATTATTTCTGATTATAGAAGAACATAAATGTGTAGTTGGCAGAATTTTGGAAGAATGTAAGAAGGGAAGAAAATGGAAGGAAGGAAAATGGATAGAGTTTCCAAGAGATGGGTCAAAGGAAAAAGATTTCTATTCACCATTCGCTTTAATAGCAAATTTTGTTATTCAACGTTGCAATAAAATCTGACCCGTTAGATTCCTAGTCCATGCAAGTTGCTATCCGTTCTTTGGAAGAATAGGAGCAGTAAAACGCAAGCCCGATATTGTTCTATTTAACAGAAATCATGTTATACAGAAAAGATATGAAGAAGTGGTATACTGGAGTAACATCCATGTTATCGAAGAAATAAAACGCACTTGCCAAAGCGACAATATATCCACTGATCTAGAACTGGCTGGTTATGTGTGGGAAATTTTTGGTAATCAACATAATAGAAGGTTTGTCCTTGGGTTTACATTGTGTGGTGGTTTTATGAGAGTGTGGCTTTTTGACCGCTCAGGGGGTATTAGTTTGAACAGAATTGACATTTATCATGATCCTACTATGTTTATTCGAGTAATTACTGGGTTTGCCACCATGGAATTATTTCAGCTTGGATATGATACAACTATTATGGATTTGCTACTGAGACTTGGGTGCATTGAGATAGAAAAATGGGACAAACAGCGACCAGAAAATAAAAAGACTGAAAGATTTGCATTAATTGAAACGATTTTTCATCGAGCAGTAATAAGTGGGCGTGAAACTATCTGTTGGAGAGCATACCATTTAGATGAAGACGGAAAGGAAATGACAGACAAAGAATTTGTCATAAAGGATTCGTGGCGATCCATCTCACGAAAAAACACAGAGGGCAACTTACTTAAAAAAGCAACAAATGCACTAAAACATATTCCTGATACACAAATCGTGAAATATTATCATCACGAAGATGTTACTTTGATAGACGGTAACAGTCAAGACAAAAATGTTGATGACACATTCACTTATATTCGAAAACAGTTGCATCTTTTTCTCGATAGCATTTCAAGCAACAATATGACCACAGCACGAGAAAACTGTTCTAATGAAAATTATACCAGTGATCGCTCTTCTGGGAGATCAAAATCATCTGGTTTCTTTAAAGAACAGAACTTTTACTTCGTAGGCAAGACCCAGTTGAGAGAACCAGAATATCGTATCTACACTAGACTAATTACCTCTACATGTGGAAAACCCATTTACCATTTCAATGATCAAGTAGAACTGCTCACTGCCTTATATGATGCCATAGAAGGTCATCGGAATTTATTTCGCATTGCTAATATTTTACATGGGGATATTTCGCTGTACAATATCATGATAGGAGCAGATGGCCGAGGATTTATCATAGATTTAGACTATGCTATTGATCTTGGCTTTGACCAATCTTCGGCCACAGATTGTGACCAAAAAAAAGATGCACCGTGCTACAGAACTGGGACTTTACCTTTCATGGCTATAGAGATTCTAAATCATAATGCAAAACATACATTTCAACACGACCTAGAATTTTTCTTCTATGTTTTATGCTGGATTTGCTCTGAGTATAAGGGCTCTCGTGGCAAATTACGTGCTAGAGATTGTAAATGAAAGAATTTGATGAAGTGGGTTGAAGGTAGTGATGCTAACGGTCCGGTTTGGTCTGACTTAAAACTCAAGTCAAGCTGAACTAATAAAAAGTCAAGCCAAACCGAACCGGACTCCATCAACTTAAAAGTTCAAGTCAAACCAAACCGAACCAAACCGTGAAGCTGATGGAACTGATGGAGTCAATGGGGTCAATGGGGTCAACAGCTTAACTCAAGTCAAACTGAACCACGAAGCTGATGGGACTGATGGGGTTGATAATAAATTTATTATATTTTTTATGTATTTTAATTTTAGATTTATATTTTTATATTAATTTTATTAGTTATATACCTATATTTATACATATTATTATATTTAAAAGATAGAAATAGAAAAAAATATTAAACCTAATTATTCAACAACTTTATCCATGAATTTAAACACATGCAAGCTTCAATTGCACGATCACCTAATCTATTTCTTTTTTTACTAACCAATTCACCTGATTTTGAAAAGGCTTGTTCACTTGGAACAGAAGTAGCTGGAATACAAATATAATCACGTGCTATCTTCTCTAGAAGTGGATATTGCACTTTATGGTGTTTCCACCATTCACATGGATCTATATCTATAGGTTCTACAGGAATTGCCAAATATTCCATTATTTCATTTCGAGATTGTAAATTATTAAACTTTCTTTTTTTTTGAATCATACGGCTTAAGATTCCTGATGTTTTTCTCTTATCTCCTACATTATCTTCTTTAATTTCATTTTCATCATCAGCAATAAGAGTTTGTTCCATATTTTGATAACTATTGAATTTTTCTAAAAGTAATTGCTTTGCATCTTCTACACTTACACTATTAGGAAGAATTTGTGTTTTATATCGAGGATCCAATACTAAAGCTAAAGTAGCTGTTGAATTGTAAAGATTAACTGAAATACAACGAAATTTCTCTTGCATTTCTTTAGCAATTCCTTTTATCCATTTTGGTATAGATGTATCATTTTTAATTATTGTTATATGTTCCAATAAATAATCTAATAAAAGAAGTAAAGTTCCAAAAGTAGGATATTTAGAGCCTGACATTTCTTCAGTAAATTCAAAAAATGGTTTTAAAAAATCACAAAAAAGTTGGAGTTCTTTCCATTCATCATCATTTAAATCTAATTTTGCAAAATTACTACCAATAGAAATTAATGAAACAATTACTGCTTTATTGTTAAGAAAGGATTCTAACATTAAAAACGTACTATTCCATCTAGTCTTGACATGTCTCTTATACACATCTAGATGTGTATAAGAGACAGATTTAACAGAAATCATGTTATACAGAAAAGATATGAAGAAGTGGTATACTGGAGTAACATCCATGTTATCGAAGAAATAAAACGCACTTGCCAAAGCGACAATATATCCACTGATCTAGAACTGGCTGGTTATGTGTGGGAAATTTTTGGTAATCAACATAATAGAAGGTTTGTCCTTGGGTTTACATTGTGTGGTGGTTTTATGAGAGTGTGGCTTTTTGACCGCTCAGGGGGTATTAGTTTGAACAGAATTGACATTTATCATGATCCTACTATGTTTATTCGAGTAATTACTGGGTTTGCCACCATGGAATTATTTCAGCTTGGATATGATACAACTATTATGGATTTGCTACTGAGACTTGGGTGCATTGAGATAGAAAAATGGGACAAACAGCGACCAGAAAATAAAAAGACTGAAAGATTTGCATTAATTGAAACGATTTTTCATCGAGCAGTAATAAGTGGGCGTGAAACTATCTGTTGGAGAGCATACCATTTAGATGAAGACGGAAAGGAAATGACAGACAAAGAATTTGTCATAAAGGATTCGTGGCGATCCATCTCACGAAAAAACACAGAGGGCAACTTACTTAAAAAAGCAACAAATGCACTAAAACATATTCCTGATACACAAATCGTGAAATATTATCATCACGAAGATGTTACTTTGATAGACGGTAACAGTCAAGACAAAAATGTTGATGACACATTCACTTATATTCGAAAACAGTTGCATCTTTTTCTCGATAGCATTTCAAGCAACAATATGACCACAGCACGAGAAAACTGTTCTAATGAAAATTATACCAGTGATCGCTCTTCTGGGAGATCAAAATCATCTGGTTTCTTTAAAGAACAGAACTTTTACTTCGTAGGCAAGACCCAGTTGAGAGAACCAGAATATCGTATCTACACTAGACTAATTACCTCTACATGTGGAAAACCCATTTACCATTTCAATGATCAAGTAGAACTGCTCACTGCCTTATATGATGCCATAGAAGGTCATCGGAATTTATTTCGCATTGCTAATATTTTACATGGGGATATTTCGCTGTACAATATCATGATAGGAGCAGATGGCCGAGGATTTATCATAGATTTAGACTATGCTATTGATCTTGGCTTTGACCAATCTTCGGCCACAGATTGTGACCAAAAAAAAGATGCACCGTGCTACAGAACTGGGACTTTACCTTTCATGGCTATAGAGATTCTAAATCATAATGCAAAACATACATTTCAACACGACCTAGAATTTTTCTTCTATGTTTTATGCTGGATTTGCTCTGAGTATAAGGGCTCTCGTGGCAAATTACGTGCTAGAGATTGTAAATGAAAGAATTTGATGAAGTGGGTTGAAGGTAGTGATGCTAACGGTCCGGTTTGGTCTGACTTAAAACTCAAGTCAAGCTGAACTAATAAAAAGTCAAGCCAAACCGAACCGGACTCCATCAACTTAAAAGTTCAAGTCAAACCAAACCGAACCAAACCGTGAAGCTGATGGAACTGATGGAGTCAATGGGGTCAATGGGGTCAACAGCTTAACTCAAGTCAAACTGAACCACGAAGCTGATGGGACTGATGGGGTTGATAATAAATTTATTATATTTTTTATGTATTTTAATTTTAGATTTATATTTTTATATTAATTTTATTAGTTATATACCTATATTTATACATATTATTATATTTAAAAGATAGAAATAGAAAAAAATATTAAACCTAATTATTCAACAACTTTATCCATGAATNGGAAAAAACAGGAACTCAGGAAGGAATCTTTGAATTCCAGGTTTTTTGAAGTAAAGGGAAAGTGAGTAGATATTTTTCGTTTATATTTTAAAGAAAACTACTGTTTACTTTCTCTCTTTTTTAGGTGAGCATGGTGCGTGGCTTTGAATCCGGGTCTTGAAAGATAAAGAGAAGGAAGGGACTGGGGCGGATATTTGTTTATATTTTAAAAAAAAATCTAACATTTTCTTTTTTTTTGTGTTGAATTCTGGGTTTTCAAAGTTCAAATAATCCGATAATGTAACGAAATACTTTAACAAAATGAAAAAAAATAAAAAAAATGAAAATTCTTATTGTGATCGCCAAATAAAAAAAAAGTCAGCCAATCAGCTACATCGGTCCCATTGACCCCATCGGCTTGGCTCCTTCAAGTCGGACCAAACCGCAACTTGAATTTCTTCAAGTTGAGCTAAACCGATCAACTTCAAATCTTGAAGTCAAACCGAATTGACACCATCGGTCCGGTTCGGTCTGGTCCAGTCCAACTTGAACTTAACAACACTACATCCACCTGGCTGTCTTCAGTTTGAAAAGCCTCTGATTTTCTATATTTTTGGTAAACTTTATTTTTTTTTTCTTCTTGGAAAATTATTTTTGCATTTTTAAAATTAAAAAAAGTTAAAAAAAAGTTAAAAAAGAATATTAGTAATATTTCACGTGATATACATGATATGCAATTTCGCAAAATATAATTTGAGATCTTATCGTGTTGGATTAACAGTCTAGTATATATTTAGTATAGAATTTTTCTTCACATCAATTACACATTGTACTATGCTTCGTTCAAAATAAATTTGATTATTATCATTTATGTACCATATAAATGTGATAACAATTTCTCACTAAAAGTACCATATATTATTATTCCAAGTAAAAAAAAGTTTATTTATTTTTTTTGGCTTCGTATTAGTACTATATTATAAAATAAATTGAAAATGTTTATGGATTAAGTGAAGAATGTAAAAAATTTTTTTGACTTCATATTACCCGCATCATACATAAAACATATAATATAATGTTCATTACTATTTGTTAATAAATAAACATTATATTAATAATTAGATGATTTTTAATACGAAATAAACAGACTAAGCTTTTTTAAGCTTTTAAAAATTTTTTTTTCATTAGCTTACTTTCCATTCATAATTCCTCTTTTCCATTTCCTCTCTCCCACTCTTTTCCCTTCGTTCTTTCCTCTTTCCTTTTCTTCTTTCTTTACCTTTGTTTTTCTCGTCCTTTCCTCATTCTTTCTTTTCCCTTTCCCATGATTTTTTCTTTTATTTTTTTTAGTGACCACTTATTTGAATCTCCTTGGATATGAAATATCGGTGGGTATTTCAATAATTTTTCTTGAATTAACAAAACTTGTTTAATTTTTTATTCTTTTTTTCCTTTATTTTTTTTAGGCATCTGGCTCTTTGATCTTCTTGGATATCTTTGTTCATAAGTTATTTAACTTCTTTTCTTTAATTTTTCTTTTAATAATGAATAGTACTAATATCCATCATCTTTCTTTTTTCAGATGGTTGGTTCTTAACTCTTTAGACTTGGTGTAGTTATGCACTTTATTTTTAGACAAACTGAAGTATAAATTGACTTGAGGTTAAAGGTCATAAGCTATTCCACCAGCTGGCAAAGTGTATGAATTTTCTTTTATTTCACAAAAGAAAGCCTTGCTAAAGTTATCTTTAGTGTAGGTTTAGTAATACATTGCCTTAATTGAGCGTGGCCACGAAGTTTATGATTCTATATATCGTAAAATGGATAAATTACGACCATATATTGTTGTCCAAATTGGTCTCATTTTACATTTAGACCATGTACTTCAATTTAATATAGATATTTAACTTTTATTTTTCATTTGGATCAATCATAATAAATTCGCTTTTACATATGAAACGATTTACAAGATTTACAACAAAAATAGATTATTTTACATACGGAATATTCAATGTTACTAATAATTATTTGACGATCATTTAGTATAGTTTCAACACTGTTTTAATGTTATCACTATGCAATATTGCAATTACAAGTATTATAATTACGTTTTTGACAACTCTGAAATTTATTAATATAAAAAATAGTTTACCATTTTTTAATATTGAAAAATTTAAATTCACAGTATCATTTACGATACTATAACAATACTGTCACAGCATTATAAGTGTATTGTAACTTTGCGTTAACATATAATGCATTGTCACGTTATTACAGCCATGATGTTACATCATAGTGAAAGTGTTGTCTTAAAATCATAAGTTTCTGCTATGTAAGTGAACTATCTGATATTAAGAACTAAGTATTCATCCCAATGCCAGGACCTTACCCTTCGGATAACACTATTTTCACAGTAAAACTATGCTACTGAGAAAATTAAATAAAAAAAACAATCCGGGAGACCGAAGACCGCCAGACCCGTATTTTTCTTTCACCCAGAGGCGTTACTTATACTGTAAGAGGTAAAATGATTCAACTAATTTAAGTTGTTTAGTAGGGTATAATATAAATGTAATTGAATAATCTAAAGGGTATTGTGGACTCGAAAATTGTTATAAACTATGGTTTAGATAAAGGTCCAGTATTTGTTGAGTCCATTGTGGTAGTATCAAAAGCTAGACGCAATTTTTCACTTGAAGGAAGTGAAGGTTCTCTGTAAAAATTTGAGCAACTATTGGAATTGTATAGGTCAGGAAACAAATCTATTTCGATTTCTTGTACCTCATCTACCGTATCGGAAGAACTAGGTACTGCACAGGTTTTCTTTGATAAATGTAATAATTGTGGATTATTGAGATTATGATTGTTGTTAGCTGTTCTTTTATGAGGACGATGTTCTAATTCTCATGTTTTTTCAGAAGTATCAAACCTATAAATCGAAAGTTTCATAACAAAAGTTACAAAACTTACCCTTTTCAATTCTCAAATTCTAAAGCCTTAGAGACTTTTCAAGAGCACAAATATACTGAATTTTCAGTTTTGGTATCCAAATGGTATTCATCTTCATGGAGTTTAACAGAACGGTCTTCATTATTTTTTCATTAAAATTATCAATATAATTATTTGTGAAGTCATTAAATTGTTATTCAAGAGTCAAGACGTGCTCGTATTTTCGCATAGGTTAATATTTGAAAACGGTATTTAAACTGATCCATTTGTTTGTAGTGATGTGTGCTCATTGTAGTTAATTTATTGACTTGGTATTTCCGGCGATGATAATGTTGAGAGAAGTGCTGATTAACGCGCATCTGTAGCATCTTCTGCACGTCATCTATTTAGAAGTTCTTGAGTGAGTACATGTCGTTCTTCTGGTAAGAATCCAACAGTATTAGCCAAAGTGGGTGTATTATTTACAAATGATCCCAAGAAATGGGTGCGCTGGTAAAATTGTTCTGAGGGGAACGCTAATGGTAACATTATGATCATATCTCTCAGAATATGGGAATTTATACCCTTAAAAATTAGATACGACATTAATAGGGAAGTAATACCTGGGCCTGCTTTAAGCGCAAAGATAGGAGTTTTGAAAGGATAATGCTTGGCTTTAGTAGATGCACCTTTGTTCCAGAATATATATTCTCCTACTACTGATGTGCTGATTTGTAATGTTAGTCGATTTTGGTCTGATTTTTGGCCAATTTTCCATATGTCTGATTTTTTTGATTTTAACCAGTGGAGCGAAAAGTAAGCATTAGAAACGGTTATAAAATATTAACAAAATATTAATGAACTAATATTATATCATATATTTACCATACGATTTAATTTACTTCTGGAAGAATTAGAGTCCTTTTCATAATCGTGTACCACAAAAATCACTTTCTTTAGTAATTGTTATATATGATGAAGAAAATAGCTTAGATAAAAATGATGAAAATATTAAAATAATAATATTTAAGCTATGTATTCATATTCTTATTAATAAAATTAAAAAATTTCTTTTATATGTCCATATAATTGTTTAATACATAGTTTTTTGTTGATGTAATCTATTTTGAGATATTGGCTCTTTATCAAACATATAAATGCAGTAAATAAAAATCAAATTTGAAAATTTTCCTAGAATTGCAATAAATTTTTGTAGCTAAACACATGGGGTAATGATAATAAATAATATGATGTTAAAATTATAGCAACTAGTGAGAATTTTAAAATTTACAATTTTGACTAGTTATAATCTTTATTTTGTAATAATAAATAAATTTTCTATAAAAAAAGAAAAATAAATAAATAACTTAAATAAAAGCAGAACATGATTACAAAAGTTTCTATTCATAAGATTCTGTGTTAGCATTGTTACTAACTTTAATATGCATTAAAAAAAATAAAATAAAATAAAATAAAATAAAAATGATAAAAAAATTTATTTGGTAAAATCTTCAGTTGCATCTTGTTTCCTTGGATTTATTTGATTACTTCTGAAATCTTATCTTGATACTGAATATGCCAAAACAATTATTAAAAAGCAATAATAGAAAAATTTCAATTGTACCTTTAGATTTCATTTATATATATCAAACTCATATTCTGTTGTAATATATTCTAAAGAAAAGGAATCAAGTAATTAATAAATTCCTTTATGTACTGATTATTATAATTAAAAAATAACTTAATACCTTCATTGTTGATTGATTCTTCAGATTCTTCAATAAGTTTATTATCTAAGATGATAATAATTATTAAATGTTAAAATGTTGTAAGTATTGTCCAAATTTGTATAAAAAATAATGTTTACATACTTGATTTCGTATTTAACGTTATAATTGAAGGTGAACCAGTTAAAGAACTTAATGATCTACTTGTATAAATTGCTTTTGGATGAGGTTTTTCATTAAAATCTGGTCCAAGCATTTTTGATTTTATTAATTCTAATCTTATTTCTTCAGCTTGTTTAAAATATTCAGCATCCATTTCCATATTTGACCAAGAATTAAAAATTTCACAAACATCCGTTGCTGAAGGTCTCTTTTTAGGATCAGGATTCCAACATTTTTTCATTAAATTAGCAAAATCTTCGGGAGTGTCGTCAGTAATATTAGGCCGTTTTCCATCAATAATTTTATAAATTAAATCAACATCATGTTCAACATTAGCAAAAGGTTTACAGCCAGTTGTTAATTCCCACATAATCATGCCCATACAATAAATATCAGATGATTTAGAAAATTTGACGCCTTTAAATATTTCTGGTGCAATATAAGGTATTACTCCATATATACTACTATCATGTGGAATTTCATTTGCAGGCTGTGATAATCCTAAATCTCCAATTAGATATTGATCTATTTTGCATGAATCATTTTCAATTATTTCAACCAATATATTTCCACTATGAAAATCTCGATGTACGAAATCTTTTTCATGAATAGTTTGAAGTCTAAAATAAAAAATTGGTTATTAATAAAATTTTATTTAAATAATTTTAAAATCATTATTAATTAACATTAATTTATAAATACCCATCTGAAATTCGCCACAAAATGTGCAATTTTTTCTTCCATGTAATCTCTGCAAAATTTTTTTGTAAATAATTATGTAAATCTCCTCCATTTGCATATTTCATTATAAACATAAATTCTTTTGTTATAGGATCTTTTGTGATACCATGACATTTAATAATATATTCAAATTTACTATCATAACATTGATAAAGTGATTTGAACTAAAATTTTATAATTTAAATTAGTATATTAAATATTTTTAAAAAAAATAAATTTAAAAATTAATTACCTCATTTAAAAAATATTTATTTGGTTCTTGAGAATATAAAACTTTTTTTATAGCAACAATGTCTCCATTAATTAAAGCTTTATAAACAATACCAAATCCTCCTTCTGCTATTTTTTTTAAATTTTTAATTTGTGAATATGAAACCCACTTTATTTTCGGTTTTATGGAGTGATAATCAAACTCATTTTGAGAACTTTGATATTTTTGTTCCAAAAATTTAAGAAATCCTTGAGAATCTTCTAGTTCCAGAATTTCATTTAATTCTTCACTGGTAAAATCAAGTAAATGACTCGTATAGCATGCTTTTGGATGAGATTTTACAATTAGATTATTATGCTTAATTGGTGCATTTATAAATTCCATAATATTGCTTTTTAATTCTTCATTAATATCTTCAATTTTCTTATTCTCAGGACGAAAAATCCAATTTTCAATGATATTTAAAACTTCTTTAGAAGATGGCCTTTTTAATGGATCTTCATCCCAGCATTTTTTCATTAAATCTATATAACATTGTGGAATATTTTCAATAATTTCAGGACGTTCACCTTTACAAATACTTAAAGCAAGTTGAAGATCATGTGCTTTATCATTAAATGGTAGAATTTTAGATGTAAATTCCCACATAATTATTGAAAAACAATATATATCACTAGCTTGAGTATAAGGTTGACCTCTTAAAATTTCAGGTGCTATAAATGGTAAAACTCCATAGATATCATTTTCTTTTAAAAAAGATTTGGCAAGTTGATATAATCCTAAATAATCACTAATAAAAATTCCATATATATCCTCTTTACATTCATATTTGTTACATAAAATATTACCATTATGTAAGCTATAATGAATAAGATCTTTTTCATGAATATCATTAAGACCCTTAATAATTTGATATAAATAAAATAATTTTTGTTTCCAATTTTTTGTTATTTTTGTTAAACATCTTTTTAAACTACCCTTATTGATATATTCCATTATTAATACATAATTCAAAGTAACTGGATCTTTCGTAAATCCATATATTTTAATAATTCCACATGAATTAATAATTTTCCACTATAAAAAAATTATAATTAATTAATTAATATAAATAAATTATAATATTAAAAAAAAAATAATAATATTTAATCATACTTCATTTAAAAGTTCATTCAAACTTTCATCTGAATTATTAAGATAATCAAAATATTTAAAAATTACTTCAATACTTTTATATTTAGCTTTATATATAGTACCAAATCCTCCTTTATCAATATATTCAATATTTTTAAATTTATTATAAGGAACCCATTTTAATTTATTTTTAGAAATAAATTGATCCACAATTTTACTTTCACTAGTACCAAATCTTTAAATATAAAAATGAAATTAAATTAAAATTTAAAATTTAAAATAAAATTTACAATTAAAAATTTAAATATTAAATAATACTTATCATACTTACTCTAAATGAAATTATAAGATTTTAATGTAAAAAATAATTAATTAATTTAAATTTAAAATAAATAGCATATAATAACTTATAACTTACCAACTAAAAAAATTAGCAAAATTTTTAAAAAAATTTAATGAGTAAATTTTATATAATTATAATAAATTAAATATAAAAAATATAGAATTATCATAATTAAAGTACTTACAGGCTAAAATATTTTAAATGATTTTTTAATANAGAAATATATCGGAGTCACCAATTACTGGTTGCGAGGAATTTCTGGGTAAATTTTTAGCACCGCAATCCAAAGATATTCATCTTGAGGAACAAATCTACGATTTACTTATCGAATATTACGAGGATACATATGTAGATTCTATATTCAGAAAACCGTTCACGGAAAATTTACCCAATTCAACGATCATTATCAACAGAGCGAATCGATATGGAAGATGTCAAATCTGTGCAGAAACTTTTGGATCTGCTGCTGCAACACGACATATTGAGAGCTCATTCGTCTTAGCTAAATTTATTAATCGTGATGGGAATAGCGTTGATACTTACCCAGGTCAAATCCAATTTTTTTTCGAACATAGCGTTCATTTATCTTCCTGTAATTTGACACACAAATTGGCTTACATCAAATGGTACAAACCGGCAAATTTGACATCTCGATTCCATTTCAGTATTGACGATGATGTCGAAACTTGCAACGTCGAAGATAGTTTCTACCCAAGCAGTAGAGACAATATAATCCCGATACACAACATTTTAGGTCAGTTTATACCTGTAAAATACAAAAAATCAGATCGATCTAATGCCAGGGAATATTTAGCCGTTATTCCTATAAATAGAAAGTTCCATTTGCGTTGATTTAATATAACATTCGAACTGGTATTTACACCAATTCGAATTTCAAAACATTTTTTAACAAATTATTTTTTTATTATATTTAGTATTATTAATATAGTATAACCACTATTTTATCTAGAAAAGTGAATAAAAAAAGCATGCAATTCGGCCATTATTTTTTATATTTTTTGTAAAAAAAAGTTATAGTTCGACCATTATTCTGTTAGGTTGAATATAGTTTAATTTTATTATACGCATTTTGACCATCATTCTGCAGGATCGAATCAGAGTCGAATATAGATTGAATTGTATATCATTACTAATTTAGGTCGATTTTTTTTAAAATTGGCCGAATTTAGGCTGAATTTTTTAGAGGTCGAATATTCCTATTTCGACTAGTGTGGACCTATATTAAAATTATTTGATGATGAGATTCAACAAAGAAAAAACAAAAATCTAACAAATGCATTTGGAAACTTAAATGTCTAGTTATCTGTTATAATTAAATCTAGTGCCGTATTAATATCCCAAAGAGAGTCGCTAGAGGTCATACGAATTTACTTCATAGGCACAGCCCAGTTTTATTTAGTTTATTCGTTCATATTTAACAAACGAGTATAAACAGTACAGAGATGCGAAGCATATTCTTTTTTCTCTTAACCTTTCTACTGTTTTAGTTACAGTCACCCCTCTCTACAGCGAACCTCGATATAGCGAATAACACGATATAACGGATCATACAGTGTGGTACCGATTTTAAATATGAAAAAAACCTTGATATAATGAAGTTTACTATTTATTTACCGTATAACGT